GCTTTGCATCTCGAGATCAAATTAAAAAACACTGATGTGCAGTATGTTTCTGTGCCATTTAAAAAATTAGTGCATTAAGTGAAAGACCAGGGCAATAATTGTAACAATGGTGGAATATATTTTCTGGAACAATTAGACAAAACGAATTAAAAAGTAAAATCTATGTGTTAGCGTGTGTCAAGTGTGTAGTTTTTCGTATTTTTCATATATACCAGATAAACAACTGTTTATGTTGCAGCTTAAATTTTGTTCGTTTTGTCAGACTGCGTTTCTCCATATTTCACACAAGCTCTCGATGCAACATATAACTGCTGCTTATGCACTAAAACCGCCACGCATGTGTGCAAAATTACTTAAATTTATTATCAATTAGTGCACAACTAAATTCTAATGGAAAGCCCCTCCTCCTCAGGGATTTGACCCCCTGCCGACACAAAGTACTATTTTCAGATATCCATTTTTGGTGACGCACCCTAAAATTTTTCTTATGGCGCCTTCGCCACACATTAATACTAATTTTGAGGGGGGGTGGGGAGCGCGCGCCAAAAAAAACGCGATTTTATATCAACATTTTGCAAAAAAGCCTAAAAACGTCTTTTTTGGCCTGTTTTTTCCAAATTTTACCTGCGGCGCAGAAGTTTTGGCAAAAACAGGGTCTTTTTAATGCTTCGGGGGAGCTCGGAAAATCAATTTGGTTGAGCTAAAAAACAAGCTGAACAGAATTTTCGAATTTTTTTAAAACCGCCCCACCCCCTCGAGAAAATCCTTGATCCGCCCCTGATTTGAATGGATAATTACTAGCTTTACGTGGTAATTAACTTCGCCTTGGTTGCTCAAATTGGTAGCCGGGTCGAGGTCCGCGACTTAAGAAAAGACCGGCGTGACTCAAATTTGACAATTCCAGACCGGCGCGAAATTATATTGGCCATTCCAGACCGGCGCGACCGAAACTTGGCAATTGAAGACCGGCGCGACTAAAAAAAAACGCTGCGATCGGCGCCACTCAAAAAACCGTCGGTATCGGCGGTACCTTTCAAAGAATTTTCTTAAGTCACGGATCTCGATCCGGGAGATCGCTACCTATCAGTGCAAAAATTTTTAAAACAATTTCAAACAGTGCACTTGATTAGTTTTTGAAAACTGTTTGTCATAAAAAAAGATCCCAACTGAAAAATCTCAACAATTTTTTAAATCAATTTTCACAATTTTTGCAATCCAAGACCAGAAGGTAGTTGCATCTGGATGTCTAGCAAATAAAAGTTTTTGAAGCTTTTTTTGGTCAGCCAATAGAACAATTATAGTTACCATCAGAGGAATTTTATATTTTAGAAATATTGTTTTTTTTTCGCCATCACAATAGAAACTTGGTATGATTGATACGGGTACAAAATTTTATGGTTTTTTTCCGCCGATGCTTTTAACGGGAAGAAGCTGATTGAGTTTTATCGAGCTTTTCCCTGTTGGAAATATTTTTTTTTGAAAAACATGCAAAAACAATTTTTTTCTTGCAAAAACTTCCGCATCTCCGGAATTTGATTAAGAAAATCAAAACTCTTTGTTAAGTTTTAGTGGAAAGCAAAATTTTTAGTCCATTGACGCTCTATTTCAAGTCGACTTGAAGTTATTCATTTTTAATGACCTCATTATATTGGATTTTTTCTATTGAACATGGCAGAAGAAAATAATTTGATAAAAATCAATACTATAAAAAAGTTTTTAATATGTAATATTACAAGGACTTTGAAAACATTTTGATTTTAAAAACTGGTATAGCTTTGAAAACTACCAATTCATTTTAATGTTGTGCCTAATTTTTTAGTTTTTCAACTGCTCAGTGTAAGCAGTGAAAAAGGTCGTTTCAGAATCCAAACCATATATAAAAATTCCGGTTTGTGCCTAGTCAAAATTGAAAATGACTAAGAACCGTTGCTTCACTGCCTCAAGTGCGCGTTGCAAAAAGTCAACAGTGTTAATTAGTTAGTTCAAAATTCTCAAATTTGCTATTTTCAATTTTTTGTTTTTCACGAAAGTTATTGTAGCAAAGTAATCTTTTGAAAGTAAGGATCTGTATTTTCCTGATAAACAAAAGTTTTAAAGAGAGAAAACTCTCAGTTTTTGAAAGCACGAACGAGAGCATCTATTACACTATATATATTTTATTCTTTCTCGTTATAAAAGGAATTTCTGAGACTCTTCGGAAAATGAAAAATTTTGTTTGCTTAAAGCCAGTATGCATTAGAAAAATTCATTAAATGTTAAGCCAAATCGAGATCCAATGTGCCAGCTTTCACTCAAAAAATATAAAACATTTCGGCGGTGCCGGAAAAAAATTGTAAAACCCCAATGAGATTGGAATACTACGAATAGTTTGCTGAAAACGGAAACAATTTTATGCACCAGGACGTTCAAAACGCCTCCATGGCTTTAGGTCCATGATTATTTTTTTTCGAAGTGTTGAGCAGAATAAAAAATACCAGTGCTGTCTTTGATGAAAAGCGAACAATTTATCTACCGAACAAAAAACAGGAAAAATAGGACTTTTTTATCCTGAAACCATTAATTTTTCAAACTAAAATACTATTGTTTTATCTTTACCCATATACTGATTACTATAAACAAGCTAATTACCGACAATTCCAAACGATGGAATTCTCCCAAGTTTTCAACAAATTGAAAAACTCCAATCAACATTTTCATTATTGTTGGAGAAACAAACAAAAATTGGAATATAGAATATTTAAATTAGACCAAACACTTTACGGAAAAGCATTATGTGCAAAAAGTGGCATTCAAGTTGATATCATGAAAACCCAAGAGTCAGATGGTCATTGTGGACGATAATTTACCACCCAGAATTACAAGAAAACGAATGCGTTGGGTTTTTGACCGGATCGAAGGGGCCGAAAAATCTCCGGCCTGAAAATATAAATCATGTGAAATTAAGGCAAATAATCGATTACTGAGAATCTCTTATGAACTTAAACTTATGAGCCTTGATTTTGTTTAGAATAATATTGCTGTTTTAACCCCAATTTTGTAAATTTTTTAAAATTATTCCCCGATGAAATTCGTTTCTGATAATAATGACTTAGTCTTTTGTGAGAAAGTCTTTTAACTTATAGGAACGTCTTGCATTTTTGATTGGTCGATTTTTCTCCAACAGTCAGTCCATCCATCATAAGAAAGAATACCACCTGCAATTAGCAAGCAGCATCAACTCAGCAAATCAACACAGCAAAACATCTTTTCGAAAACAAACTATAGTCAATTAGAAAACATTCTAATCAACTATAATCGATTGTTAGTTCATCTTTTTCGGGATTCAACTATACGCTATACAAATCGATTATAATCGGTTATTTTTATCTCACTTTCTATTTCATTTGTTTTGCACAAAAAAATCCAATTTATTTGATTTTATTCAATTAGAATCCCTTTGTTTGCAATTTTGTCATCGACCTCCTATCAAAAATGCTCAGGTTTTATGCTTTTTTTATAGACGCTGGTTCGTGCATTGAATCGAAAATTTTTTGGCAATTTTCAAAACAATTTATTTTATAGTTTTTTGTTTTTTTTTCCTCTCGATTAGATTTGTTTTACAAAGCGCGTTTGGTTTTTTAACCCGAAAAAATCAGCACATTGCTTAATTTAGAAAAAATATTTTTCACCTTCCGCGGGAAATACAAAGATCTAATGGAAACCTTTGTTTAGTGTACAAATCTGTGTTCATATGAACCAAAGTGTGATAAGTTCTCTTTACTATAAGTTCGGTTTACTAGTGATAGAAAAATAACAACCCATAGGGACTTTGAAATTTTTTCCCGTATGGCAAAATAAAAATATTATAATCATTTATAATCAATTATAATCAATCACAATCATTTTAATGAACGTTTTTGTGTGAGCTGTAATTAAATATATTGGATTATGAAAAATTATAGTCTCCAAAATTTATCAAGATTATAATCGATTATGAATCGTTTAAAAACCTAATTTTGGTAATTATAATCATTTTTGACTTTCAAAAATCAAGATAATAATCCTTTATAATTGATCAATTAAGTCAATCTAGCCTAAACTTGGATGCTGGCAGGTAAATTGAAAAATTCTGTTTGAAAATTGGAATAAAATTAAAAAAAAAAAAACATTTTTTTTTTCATTTTTCTTGATTTCATTCTTCCACACGCTATGTATATTACAAAATGATGTACTATGTAACTTTCCTAGCGTGCTGATCAAACAAAAAGATTTTTTAACAGTTTTTTTCAGTTTTTCAAACAGAAACTTTAAGTCAGAACATTCAGAGTTTCGCCCTGATATACGAGCAGTTTTGTTGGAGTCCGGTCTCAGTTTTTTTGGGTTGACCTCCATAAACCGAAAATGCTTTTCTTACAATTCAATAAACCGAAAATGATCATCTCTCAATTCCATACCCCGAAAATGCTTGTCATACAACGCATACTCAATTCAGGTTGTTTAAATGCCAGACGATCAACCTTTGGTGACTCTAGTTTTGAGTAAACCGTGGTTTTAGTCACTTGTGTTCGGTTACGAACACATCCCAAAAGTTTTGAGAAATAAAGTTTTTAAAAATCAACTTTTTAGTTTATGAAAAAATGCTTATCCTGCAATTTCGTTATATTAAAAAAAAATTATCTTAAGAGTTTTCTTAACATTTTCTGTATCTATGGAATTGTACGAAATTGTATGACAAGCATTTTTTCATTTATGAAAATTGTATGTTAAGCATTTTTGGTCAACCCGGGTTATCTGTATTACACTACACTGGGTCGAAGAAAAGTCTTTCCGCCTAGTTATGTCGCCGTATCTTTATCTAGTTTTCATCCGGGTTTATCTGGTGTAGATTATTCCGAAGATTTTTGTGCATTTCTTCAGTATTGTCCACTTGCAATCAAACGTCTTGTACAATGTTTGCTTTTTGATGTACACAAATGTCCTGACACAGTCAAAACAAGTTTAATATTAGAAAGTATGTTTATTTATAGTTCGTTTGAGTAATGTTTCCACTGATATTTGTATTTACAACTTTAGTCCAGTTTTATGTACAGTTTTGTTTCATTATGTTTGATCATGGCCTCATTTGTACTTTGAAGAGTAGCTTGAGGTTGTCGAATACTTCCCCCCACTTGAGGTGGATCCTCCCCCCAGAAGGGACGAACTACTCCTGCCAAGACCGGAAGTGGAAGATGACCCGTATCTGCCGCCTGTGCTGGGGGACGCGTCTCGTGAGCTGGCGAAGGAAGCACGGGAGAGTGGCCGACTGAAACGTGAAATTGTAAGCATATACTAATTGTAATAAATTGTTTCCAAGTGAAACCTTTACACAAACGAAATTAGATATAAGAACTTTTTCTACAAAAACATCACTTGAGTAAAACATCACTTGCAAAATCTAGCCTGATAAATCTAATCATGACTTACAGTTTAAAAAAACATCCATATTATCAAATACATGACCACTGTTTGATAGATAGACAAATATAAAACTTGCAGGCCAAATCTTTAAATTTTTTCTGGTAACGATCAGTCTCAAAATATGCCTGAAAATGGTAGTTTTTCCGGTGAGATTTTGCATTGGCGGCGAATATTTGAGCATTAATTAGATTAGCCCTAAATTGACTCGCCTTTTTGTTTATTGAAAACATGTTGACAACTTGAAAAGATCTATGGCATTAAAGTGATAAAAAATCAAGGACAAACTCATCTCAGACAAAGTGATACAAAATGAAGTAGTGTTCGAAAAAATCTCAGAAATTATTGAGTCCGAATGAAAAATAGCTTGAATCATTATTTGTAATTAGTTCAGCCCTTGTAACGCTTCACACGATTAGTCGGCCGAATGTAACCAAAAAGTGATGGTTGACTGTCTGAGTGTGAGACGACTCTGAATGAAAGTTCTAACCAATTGGGAAAAACTACAAGCAAGAAATAGAAGCATTTTGGGCTACTTCGGATTTTGAATATGCGTGCCAAATTTGATGTCACACTACATAATATTGGGATTCGAACTCGAAAATACATAATTCTGCCAAAAAGCGTGCAACGAGAAACAGTGCTCACTTGGCATTTCTTACATATATTCTTCCAATAAGTCTACCCGGGCCGAGTTCCGTGACTTATTTTCCGATTTTCATTTGCGTTGATTTTCATTTTCGCGCTGCTGATAATTCCGCGACCAAAAAGTTTTTGTATAGTTTTTATTGTCGGAAAAACCAACATTCGGTAAAGGCAGTCTAATCATTAGACCAATCAGCCCGCGTGTATAAGAAGTACTTACGTAGAATCGTAGGCACTGGATGCGCTGCTGGCGCCTAGCGTGCTACTGGAGAGAGCGGATGAGTCATAGGCAGAAGAGGTCGAGTGCAGGTTGGTGTTGGATGAATAAAGGGAAGAGTTCTTGTTCAGCACATCCGATTTGAGAGCGGACCACTTGGAGGATGAATCGTAAGCGTCGTATCGACTCCCCTATAGCAAACAAACTTCCAAGTTCTACCAGAATCTTAGAAAGTGGTGATTTGTCCAGGCTCAAAAATATCATAAGCGGCCTGATTTTCCTCCCAGAAACTTGGTTAATTATCTTGAAAAACTGCAATTCGTGCCAACTGTCATAATTTTTGGTTCTAAAAACATATATTGGGGGAGTGTGTAAATTAAAAGTTGTAAAGCGAAATCTGTAGGAAACAATAATTAAAGCAATAAAAAGAACGACTTGAACACAAAGCTGAGAAAAATTAAATACAAACAAACTTTAAATTTGAACTCAAAAATTTTTTGATATAAATACACGAAAAAATTCTTCATTTTTATACAAGGTACCGTTGTTGATTTTTAAAATATTATGATAATTTAATTTAGCAGCAGCATGTATATTTACCCAGGTGGATGTTTTGAATTAACATGTTTATGAGTAAAAAATGAACATAAACAAACATAGCTGCGGAACTAAGACAAAAAATCAACAAAGAACTAAAATTAGACAAAAATCAACTTTTTTCAAAAAGCGAAAAAATCAAGCAAACCTCAATTTTGATCAGTATTGGCTCGATTTAAAATAACAGAAAAAATCGAAAAAAAATCAAGAGGTTCGAAAATATGCCACGAAATGATACCTCTATTTTTTTCATTCGCTACAAAAATCATCAATACCTCAGACTCTTGTTTAAATCGATCGAATATTAAACAAGGGCAGCTTTTTGCTTTGAAAGTAGCACAAGATATTCTGAAGAATTTGATTCAAGAACAGGAATTCGGCAAAAGACTAGAAAAAATCTTGTCTAAATTTACTGTTATTTTGCTTAGAAAAAGCGAGAGCATCGGGTGACATTAGCAGAGAAGAGAACTATAGTTCATATAGTTCCAAAAAGGTTACCATAGGTAAGTTCCAAAAATGTTTAAATTTTTAGTTGTAAAATTCTAGAATCCAAACCACCGCCACTAGGCTCTTAATAAGATATCATACGTGACCTCCTACAAAATTTCCGAGAGGTAATCGAACTTAGCTAATAAAAATTAAAAAGACTGAAATTCTTCCATACCTTCTTTACACTCTTCGAGAATGGTCGGAACAAAAATTGCTACGGTTGTTATGAATACAAAAACTGGTTTTTCAGTGCTAGCAGATTTTTCTAGCACACCACAGGTTCTCAGATCGAATCAAAGGCACTTCTTAACTTTTCGCTGATTTCAAATCTCAAAGATGTTCGACCAGTGCAAATTACGAAGCAACATTTTCTTAAATGTTTTTTTTTCTGAGTTGACTCTGAAAAACTGATGACAAAACTCTTGATCATCAATTCTTCAGTACTGCAAAACAGGTCCATTGACTTTTAAATCAACTAACATATATGCCTGAGAGCTGTCTATTTTTGATCTATGTTACAGTTATGCAATTTGAAAAGTTGCTGTTATAATTTCAGAATAATACTGATTAGACGCGACTTTTATCTGGTTGAGGTTTAAGATTTTTTTATTTCTGTTATTGTACCAATACAATGATTTTTTAAAATTGTTTAGAAATGATGAAACAGTCATAGCACTTATCATTTATGTGGCAGATTCAAAAGATCCCTGTTATTATTGAATGTTCTCAAGTACTTTGCAGCACAAATTAACATTCAAGGTTTTGCACGGATAGGAGCAGTATTGTTTTGAGTGAAGATATAGTTTGCTCTATTTTTCCTCCAAACTAATCTTGCGTAAAAACTTCGGGGGACTTGTTATAAGGTTTTTCGAACGACCAGATAAAACATGCAAGTAAATGAACTCTTTTTTCAAATTGGTTTGAACAGAGGCAGATCTAGGATTTTCTCGAAGGGGGCGGATTTTCAAAAAATTTTGAAAACTTTGTCGAATTTTTTTTAGTTCGACCAAATTGATTTCCGAGCTCTCCCAAAGCATTACAAAAACCCTGTGTTGGTCAAAATTTTTGCGCCGCAGGCAAAATTTTGAAAAAAAACGGGCAAAAAAAATGCGTTTTTAGGCTTTTTTGGAAAATGTTGACCAAAAAATCGCGTTTTTTGGCGCTCACTCTCCCGCAAAATTACTATATATTGGCGCCCAAGGCGCCTTTAGAAAAATTTTAGGGCTATTTTAGGGCCAAAATGGACATCTCAAAATAGTACAAAGGAGGGACCCTTTGGGTCGGCAGGGGGTCGAATCCCTGAGGGAAAATGTCCGCCCCCGCCCCCCGCCCCCTCCCCCCCTAAATCCGCCCCTGCCTTAGCCTTTTTGCTAGGGAACTCGACCTTATCTCTTCATCCCTCCCCTAAATACCCATCCTCCCCCCAGTCTTACCCCGCTGCCTGCCAAGGAGGAAGATGTGGCCGAGTAGTTCCTGCTGGCGTTCAGTTGAGTCTTCAACTCTTCGATCTTTCTCTCCTTCGCCTGGTTCTGATACTTCTCGTGCTGGTACTTCTGCTGCGCCTCCGCTACACAAAAAAACGAAGGTTCAAATTGGGAACATCTACCTTCTTACAAGATTATTTCAAGGTGTTCGGCAAATAAACAACAAACAAAAATAAAATCATTTTTATGCCATTTTTTTGGTCCCGGAAGTTTTTTTTTAATTTAAAAGATGTTTATATTTAAAAAAACTCGTAAATTGTGAGTGTAATACTTCCCCTATACCTATTTTATGCAAATAATTTTGGAAATGATTCTAACTTATCTGCTTTTCTTTCTCATCCATGTCTTTCCTGAGAGAGAACGCATACTGCTCCGAGCTCTGCAGTTTGTAGTTGACGTCTCTGATCTCCGCCTCACACGCTCCCACCTTGCTTTTCAGTCCCAAAATATCTCCCTTCTGTATTTCTATCTCCCTCACGTGTTCTTTCTCGTTCTCGGTCATGGTCACCACTTTAGTCGCGAGGCTGGCGATCTCGTCTGCTTTAGAAACGAGCACACTCTCTATGTTTTTCACTTCTTCCGCTCGTGTCTCGGCAATCGCCGCAATCGCCTCACTGGCTGATAGCTTCTCACGAACTTCGGTGACCTGCGATTTTGAAGAAAATACACAATAGTGCTGCAAAATAACATATTCAAATTGTTTTTCATGCTTTGAGGTGTATCAATTTTTTTTTACAAAATACTCACCAAAACAATTTAAACAATATTTTTTGAAAAATCTGTGTTATTCTTTGAGTTATAATTTGAACAAGAATTTCAGATCAACTTTTGATTTTTTTATCTTTTTAAAAATTTATGTATTTTTAAGTTGTTGCTTCAAAATCTATTGTTAAAAGTGATTAGCTAACCTCTAGCAGAAATCGTTCAATCTCGCCGTCTTTCAAGCTCACAGTTTCCTTGCAGTTCTTGCGAGTGCTGTTCAGCTCTTTTACTTTGGACTCGGCATTCGTCTTGTATAGTTCACAATGTTCCTCCACCTCCTTAACCGACTGCGAATGTTCCTCTTTCAACTTCGAAATGAACACGTCCCTTTCGCTCAGAATCTTCTGGAATTCTGACTTCTGAGTTTTGACTGAATTCTCGAAATCACGGCGCTGAGCTTCGGATTTTTCAAACATTTCGTCGATAAGTTTTGTCTTTTCATTCACGATTCGCTCATACTCTTTTTTCAAACCGCTAAGTTTCTGTTCATAACTTTCAGATATTTCGTTGCGAGTTTTGCTCAAAAGAGCGTCTTTTTCTTCGCAAGTTCCGATAAATTTTTGATTCAGTTCTTTGAGCTGTAGCTTCAAAGCCTCTTTGTCCTGACTTTGTTTCGCTATCTTTGCATCGCTTTCTTGTTTCAGATTTCTTAGCTGGTTCTCCAAATTTTCCTTCAAATCGTGGAATAATTTGTCTTTTGCAGATTCCATTGAATTTTTGGAATCATTCAAAGTGGTGAATTCTTTCTGATGTTCCTCGAATTCAGCTTTTTTCTCTGATTCCAACTTCAAAATATTTTGAGTCATTTCTGCAATTCGTCTATTTATGTCATCCGTTAGATTTTGATAATCTGCTTCTAGTTTTTGGATCCTCGCCTGTTTGTTTTTATTTTCGTCTATTTGAACATCCCGCTCAAGTGTCATGTCTTTTAACGCTTCTTCAGTGGCCCGTAATTCTTCATCCAGCGCTTTGACCTTTGTAAATTGAACTTCCTTCAGTTTTTTGACTTCCTCAAAGTGACTTTCAGTCAACTCTTTTTCCATAGTTTTCCACTGTTCCATAATTTGAACTTTTTCAACATTCAGTGTTTCAATATCTGCATTGAGTTTTCTTTTTTCTTCGTCATGTTTAAGATTCAACTCGTCTATAAAAGCGTCCATTTCCACTTTTAGCTGAGTGAAATACTCTTTGTAACTCTTCAAAACTTCCCTGAAGTTTTCCTGTTCTTTCAATTGTTCCTGTTGCAAAAACTCAATGTTTTTGTTCAAACTTTCGATATGTTCCATTTTCGATTGAATTTCCATTGCGTGTTCGTCTTTTAAACTCTGTTCCATTTTTTCATGCTCCTCTTTCAATTGCAACAGTTTCGATTCATAATCATTCATTTGTTGGTCCTTGTCTTTCTTGGTGTTTTCCAGTTTTCCCGAAAGATCAACAATTTCATTATTTTTACCCAAAATTTCGAAGTTAAACTGCTGTTCGATTGCGGAGACTTTCGAATCGCTTTCGGTCTTAAATCTCTGATATTCACTCATCAAATCCAGCATTTCTTCCTTATGCTTATCCTGCAATTCGTCTAATTGAGACGCATGTTTTGCCTCAATTTCCGCAATTTGGCCATTTTTTACGTTGATCTCTTCGCCTGACACACTCAACTCTTTTTCTTTCACCATGCTTAAATGATCCAGCTCTTTTTTCGCATTATTTTCCACTTTTTCCAAATCGTTTTTCATTTCCTGAAGGTGCACGTTCAAATTGTGAATTTGCTCTTCGCCTTTGGAGCATTTATCTTTCCAATCATCAATCTGTTTTGTTAACTCAGCTTCGAGAATTTTCAATTTTTCTTCGCCTGACTGAGTTTGATCGAATAGTCTTTGCTCGTAATTTTTGACCATTTCTGATTTTTCGTTCTCAATTTCAGCCAAAATATTCTGTCTTTGAACGTTTAGCTCGTTGATTTCGTTTTTAAACTTCGCTTCCAGCTCTTTGGCGCCATTTTTAAGTTTTTCGATTTCAACATCCTTCGTTTTTGATTTAGTTTTGGAATCGGCGAGACTGTTCGCAATTCTTCGTTCGTAATCTTCTCTCAAAAGTTTCGTTTCTTGCTCAGTTTTCTTCGAAAATGATTCATTTTCCCGTTTAAGTCGTTCAATGTTTTCTTGCATCTCCCGCAAAACTTGTTCAAGGTCAAGAATATCTGAGTTTGCCTTTGACTTTGTTTCTTTCAGTTCATTTATAAGCAAATCCATCTCCGATTTGAACTCAAGTTTCACCTTTTCAATTTCCTGATCCCTGGCTAGCTTTATTTCACTTGTTTCTTTTTGAAATCTTTCTAGAGCCTTTTTTTGATCCTCCTGAACAAGTTTGTAGTTTTTGGTCAAACTTTCTAATTCAATGAGCTTCATTTTCTCGAAATGCTCTCTTTCCTCTAAAGTCTTACGTAACTGTTCTTTGGTATTACGTAAGTCTTTTTCCAGTTCCAGTTTTTTCTTGTTTATTTTTTCCTCCTCTGACTTAAATTGCGCAGTGATTTCTTCTTTTTCTTTCGTATTTGCAGTTTTCAAGCTTTCAGTATCAGCCTTAAATTTCTGAGTAATTTTTTCTACCTGTTTTTGGTTAGCATCCCTCAAGTCGACCTTTTCCTTCTCGAAGTTTACTTTGTTCGTGTCTCGTTCTTTCGTTAACTTATCAATCCTATCTCGCGCCTCATCTCCGTCTTTCGTCGCTTTCAATTTCAAGTCGTCGATCACTTTTTTGTCGTGTTTTGATCTCGTTTCGTATTCGGCAGTCATTCGTTTTATTTGCCCATTTAGACTTTCCTCCGTTTGAGACAGCTTGCCTGAAAATTCGTTTTCAGTTTTCATTGAAAATATCGTTGAATAGTCATTTTAATAAAACATAAATTTCACGAGCTTCTTCCCTGGTCTCAGAAACTAAAAAAATCTGGACGCTGAAAGAGTTTTTTAGGTATTGTTAAACCTAAAAAAAAATAAAAATAACTTTCAAAAGATATATTATTGAAATACCATTAAGGATTAAAATAGGATTTAAAAATTGAGTGGTAAAAAACAAATAAACACTTGGAATGCGACAAAAAATATATATTTTTTCCAACAATCACATGAGCAAAAGCATACTTGCCATCTACTGTGTTTTTCTCCAAACTAATTTCAATGATCAAAATAAATGTTTCACAGTCACTATGACCTTCTAAACTACATGCAATTAATCGAATTGTTGGCTTAGGAATTATATCTCAAATTTCAACCTCAGACTTCAGAAAATCCCGTCAAAATTTGCTAGTAAAGAATTCAAAATCTAAAGAAAATCCATTTGAAATTTTCTGTGCTTTCTTTGAAATTTGGAACAATCATTAAGAAATCTCAATAAGAATGGCTTCGATTAGGCTTATGTATAAATCTATAGGCCCGCACAAAAAGAATAACGAAAAAGGTTTTTTAATTCTCCAGACAAACTTCATTTTTATCCAACCTTTTGTAGCACTAGCAAATTATTGAAATAGTAGTCTCAATTTTATAACACGTTTTTTTGTTTACAAGTGATCATCGTTTTCAGAAAGAAATATTGAGCTTTACAAATCGGAAATTTCTTCAAACTTAGATAATAGATGCGAGCAACTTTCCAGTTTTCTATCAAATGTACGATTACGTCTCAAATGGCATAATTCCCAAATGGCATAAAAATGAAAAATTTCCCAAATGGCATAAATTTCATGCAACAGTTGCTTTGGAAAAACCGAGAACAATTTTTTCGCGAACAATGTGAGAAAATTAGTCAAATTGTCAATTCAAATGTTGATTGACATTTTATCGTGAAAAACTTGTAGAACTTTTTATCAAAAGCAAGAAGCATAAGCTTGCGCTTATTAATAAGCTTCTTGTGGTCAATTTTTTTTCGACAAATCTGTTGCTTAAAATTTGTTTGGAAGCAATTAATTCCAAATCTTGTTCACATGCTTTCGTTCCTGACAAAATGATAGAAATAGAAATTGATAGAAAACGTTTAAATTACAATGAAAACTTGATATTTATGCCATTTGGGAAAAGTTTCCATTTTTATGCCATTTGGGAATTATGCCATTTGGGAAGTTACCAAATGTACGCTATGCGATTTAAACCAACTCTGCGAGCATTCAAAAATTAATTGTAAGCTTAATGATCCAAATTTAATGTTGATAGACAAAAATTTATAAGTATTCAATCAAAATTAGATTCAATTTTTTTTTAATTTTTGAGCAGATCATCACTTTTTTGCTAGAAGAAAAAGCAAACCATACGCTTTAAATAGCAATGAAAATTTTCAGCGCTTCATATGAGAGAAACGGAAAACAGTCAGGAGCGTAAAAAGTCATGATTATCAATAACGCTTGTGTTTTTAATAAACATGACTACTTACGCTCCTGACTATTTTTCCACTTCTCTCAATTGAAGCGCTGAAAAATTCCATTGCTATTTAACGCGTAAGGATTGTTGAAAAAAACTGAATCTATTATTGATTAAATATTTATAAGTTTTTGTCTATCAACGTTGAATTTGAATCATTAAGCTTACAATTAATTTTTGAATGCACGCAGAGCTGAGTTAATTTCGTTTCAAATCAAAAACCTATAAAGGTGATTGCCCCAATTGATCTGAAAAAAAAAACAACCCATGGCTGATTTTTGCGGGCTTGGTGCATACTCTCGATCGTGACCCATTAATTCTTTTAATGGCCAAAATGCAAGTATTACACTATAATAAAAAACTTTTGTCTTTATTGTTCCGACTTTCCAAGAAAACTGAATATTTTTGCTCGGTGTGTTTTTTTTATTCAGTCAATTTTTACCGATCGACATAATAGTTTCGACAAAGAAATTTTAAACGCCATCGAAGATATTGATTTCTTGAGTTCAAATAAAAAAGATATTTTACCTCTGATTGTTTTTTGTATAGTTTTGGGGGTTTGAAAATTGCCAAATTTACCATGTTCTGGACTAAATTATGCGCGCTTTGAAATTTTTTTTTCAAATTTGCTGAAAGCGTAATGCGAATTATTTATGCGTGGCAAATTATCCCGCACATTAGAATCAGTCCAAATTGAATTGGGGCCAGCTAATCGGATCGACCGTATTAACTTCAAACGACTCAACATTTCACTCTTTGATATTGTTCAAAGCTTATAAAGGTTTTCAATACTTTGTTTTCTCAAAAGTATTTGATGTGAATTAAGGGACAGTCGGAAATTTCAGGGCTTTGCCCTGATATACGAGTAGTCTTTTTGTTCCGATTTTCGTAGCAAAAATAATGGAATAGTTGGGCTCGGGCAATTTTTTTTTTTCACCCAAATTTCGACTTTTTAACTAGCCCTTTTTGACAGAATTTTTTAAATCATTCAAATATTATTGTTATCTTGAGCTTAAATTTGAAAATATTCTTCAACTGGGATCATTTTTTGTTAAGTTATGGGGGTTTTAAGATTGCCTATTCGGCCAATTTGAGACAATAAACGCGCGATTTTTTTCGCGCTATTAAGCGTAAGCGGAGATTTAATCCGTCTTAGAAATCGTTCAAAACTGGTTGAAGGAAGATTAATTGATATGTTACTACGAGCAAAAATTATAATTTTGTACTTTATATGGCGTGTGGGGTGATGATTTTCCCAAAAAATCTCAATTAAAAAAATCATTTTATTTTTATTACATTTATTTTCTTATGTTTTTACTGCTCGATAGACCTTAAAAGGCACTCAGACCTTAAAAAGTTTTGCCCTGATACGAGCAGTTTTGTTACTTTTTTTACCTAAGATAAATATTCAACAACAAAAATACTATTTTCTCTTACTATCTTGTTCACATGTCAGTTAAGTAGAATCATTTTAATTGAAAATGCATCAAATAAAAAAGTTACATTTCAACTGATGAATTTTCGTCCAGAGTTAAAATGTTAATTATTCGTTAACTTGAATGTGAAATTAGAACTATTTATTCTTATCTTGATAAATACTTTTCAAAAATTATTTAATTGCTCAAGCTCAAACTTCTTGAAATTGTTCAAAATGTTTTTTGCTTACTAATTTTTTGATTAAAAAAATAACAAAAATGTCGCCAAGTAGGTGGACTGAATGAAATGCGCTGTCTCGAAAAACAGGCAATAAATGATAAGCACCCAACCCTTTTAAAGCCTAACAAACCGAGAGTTAGAAACCTACCCAATCTAAGAGTTAAATGGTCAGAAGCTTCAGAAAGTCAAGTGCAACAATTAAATTGAGTACATTTTTTGTATAACATGATAATTTGGTTTGTTTTGTTTTCATGTTTTTCTTGTTTTGCTTTCATTCTTTTTTAAAAAAAAATTACGATCTTGAATTATTATACATTCAAGGCCAACCAAAACGCATTTAGGCTGATCAAAAAGTACTTAAGAACCAAGGTTGACTAATCAACTAGTGGTTCAATACTTTTCGATTATCCTTCTAAGCACGGAAAACAAACAGATTAACAGTTAGAAATGATATAGAAATTCAGCTTAAGAATACCCCCACGGAGAGGTATCTATGGAAAAATTTCTTCAATGATTTAGTTTCTAAGTTATTTCTATCTATCCATTCAATTTAGCTCCTGTGCTTTTATAATTAATTTTCTGAATTATAAATCAGGTCTACGACAATCTATGACAAAATTAAACGGAGATTAACTAAGAAAGTTAAGACGCGCTATTTGACTGAGCTTTTGTTTCTTGTAATTTTAACAAAAAACCAAGTAAATTTTCTTTTGCTCAAAAAGTCAGACTTTGTGAGCTTCTGCTTTATTTTCTGAATATATATTTTGCTAACGTTTTCAGTTTCTGCAACCTACTTTTTATTCGTTTTTTTTCCACCGCATATATTGTTATGCTTGGTGTAATGATGGTTTATTGAATTTTTTCATATCGAAATTTTTCATATCGAGGTTGACGCGGCATAGTTCTAACCTATCGATAACTGTGTTGAGAAGAGTGTCGTTAAAAATGTTCTGGGGTATAAAAATTAATGGATGAAAACTAGAGGAGCATCAAAATTTCAAAAGAATTTTTTTTCCACAAAGAGATCAAATTGAACTCTAAAGATGATTACCAGATTCAAAAGAAGGTTGCAATAATTCACCAAAGGTAGATTATTTACAACTGAAAATGTGTCTTTTAAAACTCTGGTCACGGTAAATCTCCAACCATGCCACTCAAAATCCTTTTTTAAGCTCTTACAAGCATGAAAATTAAATTCAGAACATTTCTCGCTTGTCACAATTTTCCTTTCAACTATGATAAAAAGCGCATAATATCTCAAAGGTACGGGAAATTGGTATCAAAATGACGCATTGATATACCCTGTAACCAAAATATTTCAGATAACTTTTCGCCGTTTGGAAAAAAAAGTGTTCAAAGCGATGCGAGGTAAATAGAGCGACTCGTCGTTAAGAAGACAATACATGAAAGGATATGCTGTAGACTGAAAGGATATGCTGTTCGATGATTGGTTACAATTTTGTCAAAAATAAAACTCATAGACCGGGACAGATTTAGGGATGGGCATGGGAAGAGGGTTTGGGGACGTCTCTTTCTTCTGATGTTCGACCCCGTCACCAACCAAACCCACCCTATATCCCATTTATCTTACGACCGATTTATTTTCGATTCATTTTCCGGCGACCAAATATAAAAGTTTTGAAATTAAAGAGGCGAAAAAGATTATATTCATAGTTGCTTTCAGTCCCTATTAATATTTTGCGTATACATGAACTTTTGTCGCCTTAAAAGATATCGTCTTATTTGCCCGAAAAATCTTACAATGCGAGGGAGAAAAAAGAAATTTGTGAAGGGAAACTAAGGGCTCTAATTTCCCTAGTGCGTCATGGATGTCATACACAACCTTGAGATGTTTGCTTTGAAAAAGACTCAATTAATCATCAGAAAAAATACCGCTTTTTATACGCATCAGATTTAGAAACTTGTCAGCAGAAAGGTCAATCATTCGAATTTATAGCAAGTACATAATCTGTGCACAATGTGAAAATTCAGTTTATCAAACACAAAATTTCTATACAGCCTTTAGGACAACTGCTCAAAGTTTTCAAAAAAAAAAGAAGATTTGTGGCTCTTAAAGGATTCGATAGTTGAGCATTTTTTGTGTGGCTCAGAGTCAATAAAGTTTCCAGCAAACCACAGCTTAAGCATACAATGATTCAATTCCTTTTCGTATTCGAAAAATCCTTAGGTTTCAATATTTTGATTCAAATCAAACTTTTTTCCAATTTGACGACTGTTCAGCAGTCACATATTAAGCAACTGCTACATCTTGAGAAGATTCAGCCAAATAAAAATTAATACAATCGTTATTGCAAAAAAAATAGATGAAAGTTGAAAAATGTTTTTTTTTTTCAAAATTCTAAAACCTTTGTTCAGTAATCTTTTTAATGTGAAAAATCTACTATCAAAGAAACCACAAGCTATGCTTGCTATTGGAAGCATCATAATCAGTTTTTGCTTACAACTGAAAATAATACAACTGAGATTTTATCCTCTCTCTGCTAAAATTAAGTTAAATGAGCAAAAAGTTCACATCAGTTTTCCCTGGAAACCTGCCTTTCAAATTAAATTCAGAATCAGAAGTGCGACTAAAAGGGTTGAAATATGATATTTCAGTTGCTCCACAAACATTTTTCAAGGTTGTCAAAATCGAGAGAAAAAAAACGACCATACGCCATCGCTTTTTTCAATCAGCGAGAGGTGCTGTAAAAATGAATCTAACGCGGTTGTTATGCAACTAGTAACAATTGTTTTAATTTTGAAATTTCAAATTTTAAGTAATTAAAAAAATCAAATTGATCCTCGGATAAACTTTTAAAAATTTATCTGTTTCGAGCTCTTATTTTTTGCGATTTCAAAAAGTTCAAGTAATTAATTGAGCGTGTGTGCTCTTCTTGTGGACCATTCAAAGAAACTGAAACAATTGACTATTTTCTTGCAAAACTTAGAAATTTTTCGAAAGTAACTTTTGCATCCTAGAATCCCTAAAACGTCAAATCGCAACAAAAGACAGCTCGCAAAAATGGACAAATCGCAAAATTCAAAAGATGTGACATTTCGCAACAAAAAAAATCACTTAAGCAAATTATTTGAAATACAATCTATGTTAGCGTTGAAGTTTGATTCATGTGCATTATACCACTCGTATCGAACATAAGAGAAAAATAGCGAATCAAAGCAAGCAGTCGCTCGCTACATGCCAAATTCGCGTTTTAAATTAGTTTTTAGTTTTGCGAGTTGTCACAATTGTCATCATTTGAAACCGATTTTTTTCAAACAAAAAAATTCAAACCAAAGAAGCGGGTTTTAAAATTTTTCGTTCTATTTTTCATACTTTTCAAATAAAAAAATCCGATGAACTAGGATTTTTGTGAGGGGAAACATTGTCGGCTTTTTTTGTTATAAATCAACCAACCATACACTAAAGACTTTTGAAATTCTTTTATCAAACTGTTCTGCACCGCAGGCGCAGGAAACCTTTTTTGAGAACACGTTCGAAGAAGGCAGGTTTTTTTGCGAAACTTTGATCCAAAATTTCAGACAGCTTTTCGGAGCGTTATGTCAAAAAATCGATCTTATTATTGCCCAAATGCAGTAGCGGATTTAGGGAAAGGGGCGGACGCCTACTTCTTCAGGGATTCGAGCCCCTGCCGACCCAAAGGATCACCCCTTTCTACTATTTTGAGATATTCATTTTTAGTTGACTGACCTGAAAATTTTTCTAAAGGCGCTTTTTTTTTGTTTTTTTTTCTTCACAATTTGCCTGCGGCGCCAAAAGTTTGGTCAAGTTAGGGACTTTATAGTAGTTTGGGAGAGCTCAGAAAATCAATTTGGTCGACCTAAAAAAAGTCGACAAAAATTTTCATAATTTTTTTGAAAATCCAAACCCCCCCCCCCCCCTCCTCGAGAAATTCCTAGATCCGCGCCTGCCCAGATCATTTTTTAAGTGTCGGTTGGTCTAAGATAGGTGCCGTAAAATCCTCCAGAGTTTTATAGAAGAGAAATCATTTCTTTTGATAAATTCCCACTCATGGTATTATTCATCTGCAGGCTTTTATGTTCTGATATTTTTTCGTGACATCCATATTCGAAATATCCGTTCATCATATTAATATTTTCTTTTGTTTTTCATTATTGCGAGAACATGAGGATAATCAATTCCATTTTTCATAAAATAGAGAAAATCTGGGGGGTTCTGACGCAGAGAAAACATGCCACCGTTTCAGAAAATCTTTTTAGTTTTTTGTCAACCTTTTTTCTAACCTGACAGATCTTGTTCGATCAAATCTTTTTTCGCTGTCATTTCTTGAAATTGCTTTTTCAAATCCACTATCGAAGCGTCTTTTTCTTTGATGCTCTTCAGCGAAATCTGCCTCGCTTGTTCTAACTCGTCTCTCGCCTTTGCCCTTTCCCCGCTTAAAGTCTGTTGAAGTTCATTCTCGCGTTCCCGAATCGCCTTTTCGTGTTCCGATTTTAACTCTACAATCGACAAATTCAACTTTTCGTTCTCTTTTCCCAGCAAATCTACTTTGCCTTCCAAATCTTTGACTTGTTTATTTCTCATCTGCAGTTCCGTGTTCAATTTGTTCACGTTGTCTTTGTTAGTTTGTTCCGAAGTTTCTTTTTCGATCGTCAGCTTGTTCACGTGACTTCGCAATTCGGTCACGAGGTGGTCGAGTTTGTCTTTCATGTCGTCATACTTTTTGCTGTGTTCGCTCTTTTCACTCATGAGTTCGTCTAGTCGTTGTTTTTCGTAGTCTTCCTTCGCTTTTGTCAACTGCAGTTTGTGTTCGTTTCGGATAGTCTCGATCTCCAAATCTTTCGCTTCCATGTTGGAAACATTCTTGGATTTTGCTCGGTCAATGTCCTCTTTTAACCTAGAAATAAAAAGTTTTTCAAAAAAAATAACGACGGATGTTGATGGTAACCATTTGGATTTTAAAAGATCCTGGAGGACCTATGTGAACTGATTTTAAAAACAAGTCATATCTCCAACTCATAGAATGAACCCAACAATATTTTGAAAAAAGATGCCTTAAATAACTTTCTTCGTCAATGGTGGTTAAAAAATCTATTGGGGACGGAAAAAAAATTTAAAACCTATGTCTCAAAAAAGCTGAAAAGACAGGCGGTTTTGTCGTAGAGCTCGCACAGCAAATACGACAAAAAAATCAAATTCCACAAAAGGGAATTCAAATCAAACAAACAGTTAAAAAGAAAAACGGAAATTCAAATTCAACGCAAGAAAATCAAATACAAAAAAAACTTCAAGTATATTTGTTGTTATAAGTGTAATAACTGTATTTGATGATATAACTTTCACATAACAAATATTTGATGTTATTATTGTATGAGCAAAATAATTTTTTGTTCGAAACCAAATCGGTCCATATACTCTTCATTTCAGTTCTTCTGCCAGGATGCAAACTTGATTGCTAAATTCGTAGTTTGAATCAAAGTCTTTTCATGTTTTTTTTTTCAATTAAACATCGAGAATTAAACTTGAGAACGTTGTTCTGACAGGATGCAAGTTTGGCTGCTGTTCTGACGATATTTTGCTTCGAACAAAACAGCAGAGTTATAACGTGCATCCTCGCAAAACAACGTTCTCATGTTTATTTTTTGTTGCTTAAATGAAGAAAATATAGAATAACTTGGATTCGAACAATAATCTTTGTTTTCTTTTTTTTTGCTATAGCTGTCATTGATGCATTTCAAATTTTAATGTTAAATTTGAACTTCGTTGTTTTTCAAGTGTTCGTTGAATTTGAATTCTTTATTTTTGAATTTGAACTTTTTTTGGAGTATTTGATTAAGAATAGGAATAATTTTCAGCCAATAATAACCCACATCGAGCGCCCATGGATCATAATCAATTATATTGTCATAATATGGTCAGTATCTGTAAAATTACAATATAATTGATTATAATCCATTCAAAATGGACTATAATCTTAATATTTTTTATGTCAATATAATGCATTATAATCTATTATAATCCATTGAAATGAATTATAATCCTAATACTTAAGATGCCAATATAATCCATTAAAAACTAGTATAATCGATTATAATGGAATCTTTTGAGAGGTTAATCATCAAATTTACAGATTTTTTCAAAAATTTCTCAAATCCTCTTTATTGAAGTTGCTACATATTGCGTTTCTCAAAATGTTACATTTCACATTAAAATTTATATTTTTTTTCTCTCTACCTTTTCGATTCATATCAGTTTAATACTTCATTTTTTTTGCTAAGGAAGGGAAGGTATGATTTGAACGGTGTTAAGGGGGATTGTTTAATGGTAGAAACCCCCAACCCCGTTTGCCCCCCCCCCCCCTATTTTAATTTACACCCCACCCCCCGTCCCCGTTTACTTTACCCTCCCCCCACTTAAGTTACCCCCCCCCCCTACGTTTAACCTCCCCCCTGCCAGCTTACCACGACTGCCATTCTCCCCATCCCCCCTTATGGTTGAACATGGGAGGATCATTAATTGGTAGGTTTTGGGGCAGTGGGCAAACCCCAGTTCACCCCCTCATCTCAACAGTTAAGGGTTGAGACATGGCATTTACTAAAAAGCAGAGCATGCGTTTTGCAAGTTTTCTGCAAAATTTGAAAAACTTCTGCAAAAAAAATCGAGTTTATTTCTACAAATAAAATGTAATATAATCGATTATAATGGATTATAATGGATTTTTGTTTCAAAATTAATCGATTATAATGGATTATCTTGGCTAAAATAATCGATTTTAGTGCCAAAAACAATGGATTGTAATTGATTTTTATGGATTAAAATGGATTATAATTTTTCAAAACTAATCGACGATATTGGTAATATAATCAATTTCGTGGTCTGAGTTTTACATCTTTAATGGATAATAAGGGATATTTTTTGTCTCTGGAATCCATTATAATCAATAAGAATCCATGGGCGCTCGTTGCCGGAAGATCAAAACCATTTTCAATTGTTCCGAGTTTTCGAATCTGCTTCAGATTTTGATACAAAGTGAAAGTTGAGCTTTGTTTCATATAAAATACCAGAAATAACAGAAATAGTCCTGAAATAACAAAATCTGCAAATCGAAGACGCAAAAAACAAAGTCAGAAGACGTGAACATTAGGAACGTTTTTTCACGCAGCTAAGAAGTAGTCAAAAACACTTTTTCCTTCCAATGAAACTTTAATTATATAACCTGACGATCGCATTTAAATCCTTCAAAACGAAAAAAAAAGAGCAAAACCTAAAAAGATTGAAATATAAATAGCACAGCTATCCAGCTTTAAAAATATTTATCAAACAAGCTATTAAAAAGTGTTTCTTAGAGACGCAAAATCAAACCAAGTAAACCACAACCAAACCACATGTAAGGGATGAAAGACAGACTACAATTAAAAGTTGCGTTTTTGACTAAATTAAATTTTGCATTAAAAGAAATGACTCAAATAGTTTCCCCAAAGTCTTTAAAAATTCTTTTAAAATTGGATCAATTTGCCTGTTATAACTCTGTCTGTACAAAACAGTCACATACAAAAAAAATTCCGAAAAAGTATGGCTCCCCCTCAAAATTAGTAGGGTCCTTAACCAAAAATGGATATCTCAAAATAGTACAAAGGGGGACCCTTTGGGTCGGCAGGGGGTCGAATCCCTGAGGAGGGAGAAGGAGCGTCCGCCCTCCCCACCCCCTTAAATCCGCCCCTTTTTTCAGTAATTTACATTAAATCTTCTAAACTGTCTTAAATTCAGATTGTTTCCATTTTGGCACACAGAATTTAACAGTTTTTTTAGCGCATAGAAGTTCACGAGAAAAAACTAAATATAATTTTCCGTTTTGAGCTCAAGGTGTTGATCACTTATTGGGGGTGCAAAAGATTTTCAGTAAACAGTGTTAATGTGATCCCCGAAATAATAATCCCTAGTTTCTTCGAGAGGGGGAACAGAAAAGACTTGCAGCCGGTAATTAAAAAATTTGTGCGGTAAATTAAAAAACACCCGGCAAAATTTTTCACAGCAGATGAGCTTTGGTGACCTTTTGCGCACCAAAAAAAATTAAAAAACTCATTACATTTCAAAACATTTGGTCCGACTATTTGATTACATTTGAAAGTTTTGTGATCAAACTGTCAGATTATCTTTGCGTTAAAAGATTGTTTTTTTAAACCATTTTTAATGTTCTTTTTTTTCACTTCAAAAAACGTTTGGCTAACTTTCTGTAGAGACGATCTGCTACGGAACTTGACAAAACAAATATTTAAATTCATCTTTTCACAATATTTCATAACGCTTACAATACCAATTTGTTCTGACTCTCAAAAAAAGTAAAGAATATAGTTGATTGGAGTAATTTAATATTCAGACAAAATCGGTGAAAAAAGACAAATTATTATTCCGACAAAAGCGGTGATAAAAACTTTCAACATCGTTAGTCTAAACCCAAATGAAGATTTTGACTACTTGATTTGAAATTTAAAACGAACTAATTATAAGAAGCATGTTAGGCTGATTTGAAAATGGCCCGTCGATCCATTTCCAAAAAGTTTTTTTTCCATACACTTGACGAAAATACAGAACACATTTTTGTAGTATGCTTTTGAACCTTTGATTTTGAAACTTGATTTTGGTTTGGTTGTGCGCCAAAAAAAACGCTTTAGAGAAATTTTGTGCTGAGCATTTTTTTGAAACTGAATAAATTTGCTAAAGAAACTCTAATAATTAATATTTTTTGCTATCGCTTAATTTATACAGTTAATATTTCTGTTATAAAATAAGTATACTCTGATAAAAAAAATTCACGGCTTTCTATGCGTCCCTTTTATATTTGCAAATATGATTTTTTTCATTTGTCCAGGGTTTGATGCTTGTTATTATTTGTTGCTAATTCTAAACCGAGAAAAAATCAAATCAAATGAAACAAAATAGTATCCGGTAGTTCCACGTAAGCCTTTTTTTATAAGAGCAATTCAACTGAAAAAAACTAGTTTGATACAGTTCAATCTCAATTGAATACTTTTCCTTTTCGTAAATTAGCCTCAGTAATCATTTGTTTTTCCAAAAAATTGATGCCACACGCACGCTTAGTTTCAAAATACAAGCGCAAAAGCTTTAGTTTTTGCAATTTTTTTTATCATTTAACAAGGATAGCTTGTTACTGTGCAAAAGGCAGGTTACGTTCCGACCATAGTCTAAATAAATATATACTTTTTTCAAATCAGTGTCGTTTTTTCTGTGTGGCGCGAGAGTAAGATCTGATCCAAAAAAAGCAAATTTGATGTGTTCAACAGTCATAATCAAATAGGCCAAATGGAAAACAGTATCTCTAGAAAAATGACTAGAAAAACGAAAACAAAACGTTGAAAAAATTTAAAATTTCAAAATTTAACTTCTAAATTTTTCGCGGAATTTGAATTTTTGATTTTTTTAAATCCCAAAAGGACGCTGAAAAACTCTAAACGCTATTTTTACTCGAGTAAAATTAAGTTTCTACGGCTTAAACTAAGCTCAAACAGTTTATTGTAAGCTTGCAAACTTAATTTTGATAAATTTTATTAGCTCGACATCCGACCTATAACAAAAAAAATCAAAATTCAACACAAAAATAAAAACCTGTTCCTTTTTCATCAGTAGCCGAAAAATTTAGAATGGAGTATCAGGTCATAATGTTAAAATAAACAAAAATATCTTAAATCTAAAACCTAAATATGATGGTTTCATGAAACTTTTTTGTTATAATCAGTTTTTTTTCAGCTTTTGCTTAAGTTGCAAATAAGTTTGCCTAACTTAGCAAGCATTAATTGATTTTCATGGATTTTGTGTAAAAAATTATATCGAGGTGAAGAAAAATCGGATTAAAGTAGTCGATGATAAAAGATTTTTCGT